TTACCCCCCCCCCCCCCTCTCATTATGGCCATGGCAGGTATACTGGGCCGCAATTGCAGAGATCTTGCCTCAAAGGTTCCTAAATGAAGAAACTATTTCTTAGCTCTCTGACATCAAGCAAAAACTAAAATGTGAGCTTCAGATGACCTTTCTATTTAAATTTAGGTCGGTAGGAAAGGCTACAGAACAAAAGTAGTGTTGTACATGTCAATATGCTGCAGTGATAGTGGATGGCGCCACTTCCAAGTAGTAAAGTGTATCACCAGCACAACAAAGTAAAATCTTCAACGAGTGGTCATTTTATTGATGTACACACATCTCGTCATAAAGCAACGTTTTCGGGGCCGCTCAGGGTCCCTTCACCTGTCATGCCCGATAAGGGGACCCTGAGTGACCCCGAAATGTTGCTTTATGACGAGATGTGTGTACATGAATAAAGTGACCACTCGTTGAAGATTTTACTTTGGTGTGCTAGTGATATATTTTACTTCATGAGAAGTATGTGACACATTGATGTAAATGGCAAAATTGTGCGCAAAACGTGCTCTACAACGCACAAAACCAATTACAATGTGTGTTTCCAAGCATTTCCTATTGGCTCTATGAGCACAAAATGTTGCGACAGGCGTTTTGCTTATTGCGACAAAATGCGCAGGTGTAAACAGGGGCCATAAGAATGAATGGAATTTTTGGGGGGAAGCTTTTTGTCGCGCTGATTCAGCTGCAACAATTCGCTCAGTGTGAACCAGGCCTTAAAAAAAAACTAACAACAATAGAGAAAAAAGAAACTGCATTATTTATTCTATCAGATTAAAACATTTAAAAAATGAAGAAAATCACCTTATTATACACTGTAACTTTATAAGAGCCTCAGTAAAAATGGAATGAATAAAAAATTGGTAAATTAAAACTGGATTCAATACCCTGAAGATTTAGGTTTTCACCTTGTTGCCTCCTCTCAGATGTACTTTGTTCTTTAAATCCCAGTGTTTTATCTCGCCTGACACTTATTAACGGCACACCAGGGATACGTCTATGAGTCTATATGTCCCTATATGACACTGCTTAAATATAATTTGCAATATATTCTCCATCTCCTATTTTTACAACAGGGACATTTTCTATTTAGGCTTTAAAAGTGAGCTCTAAAACAAAATTCCACCCCCTCCTGAGGTGGCTATAAGAGTTATTTGTGTGATGGAGACCTTTACTTTTAATGGGGACCTTTCTTTTACTAGGTTGGGGTCCCCTGAAGCAGATAAGATGCCCAAAGGATCATATTGTACAACTCTGACATCTACAAATCCAGATATAAGGACTTTAAAGGATGGTTTACATATATTCATACCCCTTTTACTGTGAACAAGAACACAATGCAGTTCTTGGACCTTGCTTTAATATTTATGGAATTTAATCATGTTACACAAATAAAAACAGATTAATCCTGTTTGATTTCTTCTCATGCAAAAATATATACAGTACAAGAACATTTATTATAAGACCAAATACATAAGAGCTAGTAGTCAGTGTTTGTAGCATTCAGAAATATACACAGCTCTAATGGATAAAGTGAATAGTGTAAGACTGCAGTACCCTTACATAATGCAGAGTGTGGAAATAGAACAGGATAATGCAGAGCATGTAACGCCCCCGCTTCTGCAATGAGACACGGTAGGCTGGAGCACACTAGTAATGAGCTGCTGAGTCAGCTGCTCCCCACAGCTGGGTACCAGGACCAGGGCTCTCTGCATCTTCTGCCTGTACTGCATTACATCTAGCCAGGCTGCAAACACAACACAACAAATGCTGGTTTATAGACATTTACAAGGAAATGTCCTGAGACTGCATATATCCTACAGGCCCTGATCAGCATAAGGTTGATAGTTCTGGTGAACACAAACTGTGTTATTGAAAAGCCCTTTTACTTTTTGAAGAAACGTGTGCATGCATTACCCAGAAAGCATCGCCTCACTAATTGCACTTCAGTTATGTTATTTCAGTGTGACTTCAACTAACAGATCCATGCTGAAATTCACAAAGATGTCAAAACAGTTCAGCCAAGGTTCTGGTACAGTAAAGGGTGTATGAAGCAATCAAAAACACATGGGACTTCACTATTACCAAGTTCATGCAACCTGCTTAAAGAGACCCTGCCGCTATAAGTTCCCAAGTAAAGCTTTACCTGTAAAAGAGGAATATGAATGCTTACCTCTCCTGCCACCCATGCCACAGAACACAGCTCCATTCATGAAAAATCATCCCCCAAAACTCAGCTCGGAAACGGCACTTCCTGAAAGGGTCTATTTCATTGGTGCCCAACGGCTCCCACCTGGTTACTCCAGCTGACTTCACACCATTTCAGGAGACAGTAGTGTCTTGGAGGTCAAAAGGAGAAAGCAATAAGAAGTGTGGGGGGCCAAGGAGATGCCCCCAGAAGTGTTTTTTTTTTCAAAGGACATTAGGGGGTGATTTTTTTATTAACAAAGTGGTGCTCAGCTTTACAGGTGGCAGGAGAATAGTATATACACTCTTCTTTTACATGTATAGCTTTGCTTGTAGACTTACAGACAGTGTCACTTCACTGTAGACTTAGCAACAGTGTCACTTCAAAGATGAGTTACATAGTGGTTTACTGTAGATAGATGCCACCAGCACACCAGAATAATTTCAAATCCAAAACGTTAATTTACTGAAACGTCATGTCACCAGAACAAGCTCTTTCGGGGGCCACGCAGGGTCCCCTTCACCAGGCTCGGCACATAGTGGTTTACAGGGCATGTATTCTTGTAGGATGCTAGAGTATAAGTCATGGGAGGAGAGAAGTATCATTTATAGAACACAGTGTAAGTAACATTACCTCTAAATTCTCATATTCCTGGACAGAGTTTGATGGCAGACCAATCCACTTAATTTCCTTCTTCTCCTTAGAGATAATATTCATTGCCATTAGTACATTGAGGGCATCATAAACTCTCCTCCGTATATTCTTCTGATCGTAAGCCTGAGAAATAAACAAACAACTGCTAAGTAACTTATTATTGCTTGGAGAACTGATTGTGCTGCAAATGATATAATTTCTTCTCATGCTACTAAAGGAATCTCCTGTGACATATCATGGCAGGCAGTAAGGTAGAATGAGTATATCGGTTGAAGAACATAGTACTCAACCCACTACCCAGCAAAGGGTACCTAATCAATACCTGTTACTAGCAAATTATTAATAACAAAGGTCTCACTGGCAAATGTATATATTATATGTGGCTTTCTCATATAGCTACTAATCTATGTGGATACCACATACATTAGAAATATTATGTGGATGCCACATGCTACGCAAAGGCCGTTATACAATATGCGATTCTGCCAAAACAGGCACATTTATAGTATAGCAATGAATAGATTGAGGTTACATCATCCTACTTCAATCTACAGCAACATATGAGAGATCTAGACCTTTCATTTTCTGTACCAAACCCACAAAATAGGTGTACATTTCCTTTCCCACCTACACCATTCCTTGCTAGTTATAAACTGATGAGCAGCTGCCATTTCCTCCTTTCGTTGTAGACTATACTTACAATGATCATCACTCAAATAAGCCATCACCTTATGTCTATGCATTGTTTTACCCGAAGGGATTGTCTTTCATTAACTTTTTCCACGGTGCTACTGTGTGACCAAGATTTACAACTTTCCCATTGGCTTTAAAGCAGCTAGAACTGAATATGCCCTACTATATGTGTTGAACATGATCCTGCATTGTTTGTCATTATGGCGTTTTGCATCAATACAACTAGAATTTAAATCACACTGTCATAACCTATGTATTGCAACATTGTCGATGCTTGTTAGAAGTACAACTATAGCAGATTAACAGCAAGACAATACAAATTTCACTTACCGAATCAGTGGCCAGGTGACCTGCAGAGGTGGTAAATTCAGCCACCAACTCATCAGCTACCTCGTTGTATGATGTAGTGCCTTTGGTTTGAACCTTTTCACAAACCTTCATAGAGAAATGCCGAAGACCCTTTCCACTCTTCTCCCCTCTTTTACTCCTTTTGCTTTATTTTGAAAAATAAAAAGGGACATATTTCAGCCTTACAAATGAATATTACAGTCTAACAGTCTTATTACAGAATACATAAGAACGGGAGTGCTACATATAAACAATTTAAAAAAATAGAATGAGGGCCTACTGCATCAACCACATAACTATTTCACACTCTTTACAATGCTGGGTCCCCCTCATAACTCACAAAATGAGAAACAAAAAATTGAATGCACATCAGGTTTAGACATATGATCAGAGCCACACATTACTGATGTAGCCGCTGATGGTGGATCCAAAGCACGAAGTGGAGGATGTCGGCACCCGACACACCAGTAAGTTTTGGATGCTAACGAGACTTTGGTCAGTCTAGCTCTGCAAGAGAGCAAAAATCTGACGCATAGACTGATAATTATCATTACTCTTCTTCTACAGGCCGCTTTAGATTGCCTTTGTGTCTTAGGTTGCCTATGCCTGGTATGTATGGTACGCAATGGGCATATAAAGATTTTTGTCAACAATTTAATCCTATGTATTACCAGCTTGGCAAAGAACATAAGTCTCACTGCTGAATACGCTATAGATCCTTGATTTCTTTTTATAAGCAGCATATATGTAAAACAGATTTGCAATGGTCTTTAATACATTATGTAAATTAACAGATTTTATAAATATATAACAGATTTTATAAATATAAACCAAGCTTGGCGTGTAATAAGCCTCTTTTCTGGATAGAATGGAAAAATCGGGTCATGGAAACAGTAGCTGGAGTCCTGGGTGTCTTTCCCAGAATGTACAGCAAATCCTGAGTACAGCTACATGCTGCGGTGTCTGGAAGAAAAGGTGCTGCAGATCACAGAAACGCTTCCTGACAAGTGGTTGCCACAGTGGCCAGGCACTCTGAGAAAGCATCCAGAAGGATTAGTTCCAGATTCCTTGTTAGGGACAGCAGCAGGAAGTGAATAGAAGTGGAAGAGTCAGAACTCTGCCAGAGACCAACTAGTCTGAACTGCTCAGCATTTACTGCTTTCACATAGAGGTCTTTATAGCATTTGCTTACTTCCATTGTACATTATAATGTACGCTGTGCGATAATACTCGCTCTACTTCACACTCCTAAGAATAAACCTCCACACAACTGTATATTCTGCACAGAATACTATAACATAGGGTCGAGAAACTCAAACAAAAAACATGGAAACTGAGCACATCTCTATAAGTAACTGCCTTTTATCTACTTATGGCCACACTTGCATAATTCCAGACTTTGCCAGCAGTTGAACACTCTTAGGGGTCTATTTATAAAATAACATTTCCATAAACATTCATCCAGTTCTGCGTGAATTAACCAGCTGCTGCAATAATGGGGCAGAATCAAATGTTCTTAGGCCATTTTCTCATCTGGATGAATGGTCTTCAAATATTATGGGCAATAGTGAATCAGAAAAATACCAAAATTATAGTCACTAGATGAGGTGAGGACCATAGGAAAACAAAGCATCCTAATAAGCACCTGGTCACACCAGCTGCATTGGGCTGCGCTGGGCATCCCAACGCAAAAACAAGGCAGTGGTGTGCCCTAAAAAAAAATGTATTGCATTGCACTGTGCTGAGCTGAAGGCGACAGAACTCCTTGAAATGTCACCCACCGCTGTCAGAATCACTGCAGTCACTGTTCATCTGACAATGTTATGCCCCATTTCTTTGGCAATAATCAATTGATAAACTTACTACTGTTGAATGGAGGGGTGCTGGCAGGGCCACACAGTGCTCAAATTTACACAAGAAACTTTCTTTGAATCTTTCTTTACAAACATATTTTTAGTTGCTCTCCATAGAATGTTTTTGGGGATTTCAGGCCATTTTATGGGCCATAGTGATGACTAAATCAGAATGTTCAGTTAAAGGAGAATTATGAGGCGAGTGATTTTCACTCAGTCTCATAATCTGAGCCGACCTGCGACAATGAAACTGTCACAGGTCGGCTCAGTAGATCGGGAAGTGAGCATCTAGATAGGCAGAGCCAGCTGTCACTCACGCAGCTGGGTGGATCCAGACCTAATTGTCTGGATCCGTTCCGTCTGCGGCGTCTCATTATACCGCGAGCTTCAGCTCGCGGTATACTGAGCTTTGGGTGACGGGAGGATGCTCGTTTTTGTCCTCCCGTTACCCTTAGGAGAACTATGGGGAATAGCCCTAACCTCATAGTTCTGCTTTAACACATTTCCCCTGAATGTTTGCATGCAGGTCTCCCTAATCTGTGGAGAATCAAGGAATTCAGGAATCCAGGTGATCATTAGTCCTCATCAAATAAGTCAAATCTGCATGCATACACATTATACAGATGAATCAAAAAACCTTGTGAATAAGTTTGTTCATCACTGGGCATGGAATATTTAAGAACTAGTCTTGCCAATTTCCCCACTCTCAGTCGAACCCAAACAGCCACTCAGCAGTCCAATTATTGACTTGGTACTACATGATTTCTTCACAGAATACCTAACCCCAACTCCTTGTCATCTCAAACCCTTACCACCTCAAACTTTGCTAAACTGTCTCTCCAGGCTCCTCAAACCTCATTTACTCCATTGGACCCCTCGCTCAACTGATAGAACCTTTCAAAACTCACCCCTCAGAGAAGTCGGCCTCTATAAACTCTCGGGAACGCTTTCTGTCCCTACAAAATAAGAGAGAGAGAGAATTATGTTATTACACAAGAATTACACAATGGGAGAACAAGAATACACTGGTAAAGGCTGAAACTTATAACTGGTAAAATGTAACAGAAATCATAAAATATACTGTATATGTATATACTGTATGTATATCATAGGGAAGTAGATGGGAAGTAGATTGATACGGCCAGAGGAGGCTGAGCTACCAAGCAGCAAATCAGAGGACCAAGGGTACAGAAATGAGTGTGTAGGGTCACCAATAAAACTTTTTTTTTTTGGTGTTACAAGGTTCCAGATTGCTCAGTCCATTAAAAATGGCTATTCTTCCTGCATCTAGCATTTTGCAAAAAATCCTTTAAAGTAAGATATTCCACTTATCAGTCAAACATGTAAGCATTCTCTAGTATTTCAACGCTGATGACCAACGGTTCAATCTTGTTCTTGAAGCAGCAGTCTAAGGACTCCATAAAGATAGCTCCAACTACTTTTCTGGGGAGCAAATCTAGGAAAATATAAATTTTGCAAAAATCCATGCATATTGATAAATTGGACTCTAAGCATGGTGCGGTTTAAGGACTATCCACTGTTGAGGACCAAAACAACATACCATAAGCTAGGGGTGCTTTGGCGTGATTGAACCCTTAGACCAACCAATGGTTGTTTAGTCTTTCCATGCATAAAAATAGATACGTAATAACGAACAGATGACTATGTAGCAGAGTGTGCCATGTCAAAGCCTAACCCCCCTTATATAGAGTATGACATTAGGAAAGAAAACATGCATCCAAACCCTATCACTTACCCAGGAATCCAGCTGGTTGTGTCTGTGATGTGGCTCTGAGTGACCATGGCTGAGGTAGCCGTAGAGAACTGTCTCCTTATGAGAAGATCTGCTCCGGCGTTCAGTCTCTGAGGAGTGCTTATAATCTAGAAACATTAGGAAAAAAATAATACAGTATTAATTCCAGAATGATATCCAGTTTATTATGTCTCAATTTCCCCAAAGTCCTTCTCATTCTTTGAAGCTGCAGAGACCATTGTAGGGGCACAGAAATTTGGGAATTTCTAGCAAGAACTTTGACACTAAGAGTACAGACTATAGCCCAGTGGTTCATTATAAGATAGAGTTTAAGATTACATGATAAGAAACAGTAATTTCATTCTTTGGGGGGTCAGTCAACTATCTGCAACTCCAGCCAAAAGTCTCTGGTTTTAGATAGAATGGGGAAGGTTGGAAATAATCAAGTTTTTTACAGTTGTTTGGGCCCCATCGGGGAGATTTATGGTTTAGGTTCTGTTGACTGATATCACCAGGACATGAAATAAAGAAAGATCTAACATTTTACTACTGACACCCAAAGAGCAGGTAAAGGAAAACCTTTCAAATGAGGACACCTGTTTTAGTGACAACTACGAAAGGAAGGATTCCACCCGCTTTAAGGAGATTTCCTCTCACTTCTGTATGCATTGTGTTTGATCTGTTGTGTCTCTTGACATGTAGCGAGGGGAAATCTCTGCAATGGAGTTGCAGATAGCTATAGGAACCTAGCAAGGGTTCAAACTCTTTCCCACTGTTTCCAAAGCTAGGAAAAGTTTTGGTTGGAGTTCCACATTAAAAAGTGTTACAATCTTTTGGACTGAGTCGACTAATGGCTCTTTATACCTCTTGGCAATTCCAGTGGAAAGTCCCTGCGGTCATACTTCCTCCAAAAGCTTAGAGTTTTGAGTGGTTCCAACCATCTTTGTGTGTTACCATTCCTTATGTTGCATTCCCTACAACTTAAAATAAATGACCATCCAACTGGGAGTGAGGGACGGTCCAGTAATGGGCATGGCTAGTTCTATACCTAGAAACTTAAGCCTGTGATAGTGGAAAAAGATCTGAGTAGAATACAGTAGATGCCTGGCAGTTTATCTTGGGAGTGCAGATGTGATTCTAGATTCTTCGTACACATTTTGTGCTCACACTACAATATGTAATGCACTTGGAGATTATATTGCTTTTTTATATAAAGTAAGTGATGTACAGAAACCCATATCAACCACATTTCAGAACAAAAAATAGTGGTTTCTGCAGGTTACCTTACTTTGACCCTAGCATAGCAAGTTCTTTACGAAGCTTAAATATATTCTAAATGTTTTTACGCATTCGTGTGACATTTCTGATAGAAGCATATTACCTCAAACACAACATTTTTATTTTTATTTTTCCTGAGTATCAATATTCTGGATTAAGGACATGCCGGTGGTGACCCAACAGCCGCAGGTGGCAATATGCCCCTCTTTGACATACTCTTTTTGAACAAACAATAAGTAATCTACCCATTTAGAGTGAGCTGTAACTTTTGTTGCACCCCAATCCTGCAGTAATCTCTGTTCCTGACAAATTCCCTTATACAAAGTTAAAAGGACAGTTACCTTTGCTATGGGGGAAAGGAAACATTTATCATTAATACATAATAAACACCTTTTTTTTTTGCTCGAAGTGGGCAGTGGAGCTTGGATCTATTTGCTCCTATTGCCATAAAATGATTGTCAATCTATGTAAAAAAATGTGTCTTGGATCAGACCACGATTCCCCTATCAGGGAGCAGAAGAAAACAACCGTGGCTCATTTTTAGAGAACAGTGAATTGGCAGAGTTGGCTTTGTCAGACTGACTGCCATGGTTTCCCCTGCGAAATGGACGGCATCAGGAGTGTGTGCAATCTCTCTTCCCACTGCAGAAACATGCTATTGACTTATATCAGAGCACATAAACAACTCGGGAACATCTGATAAAAACAAATGGTCCAATCACTTCTGCACATTAAAGCGCCATCTTCCGCTAAGCTTATGTAGTGTCCAGCCAGTGCGGCAACTGCAATCCTTCCTGCTGTCTGATCCTCAGACTGACCAGGGGAAAAAATGAAGTATTACGGCAGCCTAGACATGGAACAGTCATGAAAAAAATATAAAAATATCCCACAACAACAAATATTTCATACAACTCAAAAAATAGGTACGAAAATTCTTGTCAAATCTGTGATGTATGTTTATATCTCTATCTACCAATTGAAGCATTTCAAAAATGTGCTATTTGTTGCTTTGCCTGCATTTATAGCATTGCAGCTACGGATGGGTTAATCGTCGCAAGCCAGAAGCGCGCAGTAGGTGCATAGAAAAAAAAAAGAAAAAAGATTAATGATAGTCACATGGGAGATCCAAACACAGGTCCAATCCCTCCCCGTCCAGTCGCAGGCCCCCCAGAACACACGTCACTGCTGCTCTTGGCTGACCTCAGGTCCACCTCTCGGCTTTGATCTCCACCGGAAGCTAAGCTGGGACCCCAGGCTGCGACCCTTCACTGGATGCTTTACTGCAGGTCTCAGAGACCTACAGAGAAAGACAGGCGTGCAGTGTCAATCATTGATACATCCTCTCCGGCTGCACAAACATTTAAAGCCATAGCCTGTACTGCTGAAACCTTTTGCACTGGTACATGGGTACTGTGGTGTTTTCATTCATGGGGGCAGGTGTGGAAAAGTTAAATGAAAACGCTATACGGGTTGGATGGTTTTGTCATAAAATGTGCAGAGGGTAAGAGGAGTATGTGACGTAGCTCTGCTGTGATCTGGTGTTTCCTGTCATCAATGCACATAGTGATAGTGAAAACAACAATAAGATCATAAGCAGAAATGAAATGTTTTAGGTACTAAGCAGAACGGAGTATATAACATGAAATACTTCCCAGCAAGTTACTCTTTTACACCCATAATCTCATAATAGAACACTAGTAATAGTAATATCAAGAATTCACATAATATTTCCATCTGATCCACACATGCACAGACAGATGTCCAGGGCCAAATTTACCATTAGGCACATTAGGTCTATGCCATATAAGGTGCCAGAAACAAAGGGGCAGGTGGACCCTATATAGCTTTCAGCCACACATTTTTCTTCTATCAGAGGAAATACCGTCATCTCCTATATGTTTATTACACATTGCTAAAGCTAGCCATGCATGGCATGAATTTCCGCCAGTTAAATAGCCAACATTTTGGCCCTGTCGCACCAACTTGGCTCAAAAAACCTCAATTGAAAAATCAAAGGAGCTGGGCAGAAAATTGTTGGCTAAACAGCAACTGCAGCCAATCAGATCTAGTCACCAACAGTTGCATGAATATAATACCCGGCAGCAGGGGGAATCGAGTGGTTTTCTAAATGTTCATGGCCAGCTTTACAAAGTGCTAAGAATAGTAAGGACCAGTAAAAGATGAGAAGGCTTTGTGGGAAAGAGGAGAACCTAGAGGAGGAGCAATGCTATGGGCTCCAAAGATTGAGTGTCTACCAGTTTCAGTAAGGGAATCCAGCACTCCATATTGTTGCTGTATTATGGCAGTCTTAGATTAGCTTTGACTGGAGCACAGCTACCCTTTTGGGGGACCGGTGTCTATCCCAATCAGCCAGATTAGATTTTGTTGTCTATTTGCCTTTATGAAATGACTAGAGATAAAATTACACTTTCTACTCCTGCCCAATAGGAGGTTATAGATGGATCACCATGCAATCATGGAATAGGAGATGAGTAGGTTGGCTAAAGGGTGGAAAATTCTGTCCAGAAGAGATCTCTGCACATACACTGGCTTTAACATTCCTCCTCTTCAATTGTGGATGTCTATTTGATTTCTGATCCAGAAAAAAAAACATTCCATAGCCCATTCCCATTTTCTATTCCATGTAATCTGTGCTGTCCAAAAACATAATGGAGTCGAGAGAGCATTCAGGGGCAAAATATTTGCAGGCTGTCAGACAAGACACAGCAGACAAACTGCTCTCCATTGCAAGGAAATGAGACAAATATTAACAATTAAATAATAATAATAATAGAAGACCTGCATTCCTCACTAATTCTGCAATCAATTAAAATGGATGCTAACCTACAAAAAATTGCACAGCGAAATTCCAGAACTCTTAAAAGTAAACTTTTCTGGACATGTTACTTTTTTTTTAGGTTTCATCTTTCTATAAACCTTGCCAGTTTCAGGCCCTCCTTTAGTATTGTTGTGGAAGATGGCAGATATACATCACTATGAGTGAATGACAGGTCTGCTTACCGTTTCACATCGTCCTTTGTTAATAGCTGAGCACAGTGTTTGCAATAAATCTGCACTTGGCCAGACTCGCAGGCTTTCCCGACAGCTCAAGGCAGACCTTACCATACAGCATGCTCTGAAAATGTGCTCTTGCTTTAACCTGCCAGCTCGCTGCCTGCCCCTATATGAGAACGCACTTCCTTCCTACTTACTGTAAGTGACACACTGCTTTATTTTAGTTGTGGAAGCTTCACCCTCTCACCAAAACAATCATATATTGAATCTGTGGACTAATCTCCATCCAGGGCCAATCTGAATTATAACTGGGCTCAGATCATCCACTGCTATGTACAAAAAGTAATCTTTACCTGACTAGGACATTGTCCCCTCCAAGGGATGCCTACAATTTAGATCATTTTGGAGGAAGTTTTACAGGTCTCTTTAGGTTTGTGGACAAGGCTGTTTGAATAAAGTTTAAACCTGATATTGAACATATTTTAATGCTATTAAAATTCAGATTTATTTTATAGACTGAAATAGTTAAATTATAGGTCTGGTCAAATTAAAAAAAACAAACATATGTAGTTCTTCTCTGCAGTACATGTACATTTTGCCAAGTTTATCCCTTTAAAACACTACAAGTACAAAAAATACTTGGTAATCCTGCCAGAAATCCAGTAAGCGCAGGACATATTGTAGTGAGCCAACTACACTGGCTATGCTGCACAGAAATCCTAAGCAATGTTGTTAGCCCTGCCTCTCTTGCCCTCCCTTCTGCTGGACTACAGAACTTTGCCTATCCCCCATGCCCCATGTCTCTCTCCATATACACGCACTGATGCTACTGCCT